ATGAAAAGCTCTTTATATACAACCCCTTTACCAGAGACTATCTGGAATTACCCAAAACCAAGGAATTTCCGAACCCGGATGTGGTTTGTGGGATTGGATTTCATCCACAAACCAAACAGTTCAAAGTGATTAAAATTGTCTACTCCAGAGGCTTCCGCCGTATCCAGAGACGCGTCCACCACTCAGATGTTCAAATTTTCACTTTGGGAAGCTCGAATTGGAGAAGCGTAGGCAGAATAAGCCACCATCTAGCTCATGGTCAGTCGCAGGCCATCGTCAACGGCAGACTCCACTGGGTTTCTCTACCTCGACGGCACCATCACGGTCGCACCATCGTCTCATTTGACTTAGCAACAGAGGAATTCATAGACATCCCAAAGCCCGATTATGGGAGCTTGAGTCGTTGCAATTACCATTTAGTGATTCTAAATGGGTGTCTCTCAGCCGCCGTTTACTGTACTCACGGCAAAATGGAAATATGGATCATGGAACAGTACGGCGTGAAGGAATCTTGGGTCAAACGCTTTAACATTGGGGCTTACATGCCCAAATCCATCAAACAAGAAGCATCGGAGATTTCTTTCAAGGTCTCCAAGATTGTCCTGCGGAGTAAAATCGTTAAAGTTGTTTGCATTTTGAAAAGTGGAGAGATTTTGTTGGAGTATAGAAACAGAGCTCTGGTTCTTTTCAACCCAACTACTGGTAAATTTATGGATGTCATTTTTGAGGGCATGCCCAATTGGTTTCATACTGTTGTTCATTTTGGTAGCCTGAATCGGATCGATTCCCTCTTTGAATAGTAATCGTGTTCTTCAAATGGTTATGAAAGTTGTACCCTTTTCATCTTTGTAGCTTGATAAAAGCAGAACAGAGCAGAGCTCTGTTATACATATAAACAAACTAAATTATGATTCTAAGCGGCCGTTCATTCTAAGCGTCCGATCACATGGTGTCATAGTTCTTGAATAATATGAACCAAAAAGACATTAAAGTGACCAAATTTCTCAACCATAATTTGGATTCAAATTCAATTACTCGGCCTTCTCAGCTGCGGATTCTTCTTCTGGTTTCTCCTCTGCTTCTTCTGCAGGCTTCTCTTCCACCACCTCCACCGCCGGTGGCTTAGCCTCTGCTGGTTTGGTCTCCTCTTCCACCACAAGCTCAGCTGCCACTTCAGCCGCCTCTTCTTCGGCAGCTTCTTCCTTTGGCTCTTCTTCAACAACTACTTCCTTGGTTTCCACTTAAACAGAGCTGACTCCGGTGGTACAACCTGCAATATCAGCAAAACAACCCCATCGGAGCCAGGAAATAAGAAATGAACAATGACCCAATTCGAATTTTTCCCCAAATTTTCAAAAGATCACACACAAACATATGTAAAAGAAGTTGAAATGTATAATTATGATAGAAATTTATGAACACAGATAAACAGAGTTACATGATATTGAAGCAGCGGAAGAAAGGGTGGGATGGAAGTAAGAGGGAGCATGAGAGTGGCTTATATAGGACAGACAAGAGAATGGAGTGGCAGTGTGGAGATTTTGAGAATTTTAATGAAATGTTTATAAAATAACTGAGAAAATTGGCCCCAATTATAATTTCCTTAATAAACTCTTGTTAAATTTGTATTTCAGTTCATCCAATTTTCAATTTTGTTTTTTGTTTTTAAATTTTAATTTGAAATAATTGAGAAGCGTTTGAAAATTGACTCATCATACAGAAAGGGACCCACTTACTTAGTGAATGTGATTGGTGATAATGAAGAGATTATGAGAAAAAGGGCCCACTATCCGACACAGCAAAAAAGTCTATGAATGGCTGAGTATGATTGGTGACGTGGAGGCCATAGCATGCAGGGTGTCACGGTCATGCTCGTCCAGGACGTGTTGCCCATGGCCACATGCCTATGGCAAGCCAAACCTTTGTCATGTCTTTTCATTCGAGTGTTTTTACTTTTGTAGTTCTAGGGCGTATGACGCCTCAAAAATATCATGTCTAGGCCTGCCAGACATGAAATGCCTCAAAATGTACGGATATGACTAGTTGTCAACTTCTCCCTACCCAAGGTTATATATGCTAAGCCGTTGTTATCTCTCTCTTGCTTGCTTATATAACGTCTCTTTCAAAAATCTCTCTTTCTAAAATCTCTCTCTACCCTCGTTTTCCAAAACCTTCTTTTAAAACCGAGGCTAGAGGCTTGATCATACGTCGCTTGGCCATAGGCGACGCAAGTACAAATTGGCTTAGCTCACTTGTCGTTGAAAAGTGAGTGCCGCACAATCGCTAGTCGGCTGCCTTTAAAAGTGCGATTGTGTCACAGGGCATCCCTTTTCTGCTTAGTCATCGACCTTCAAACCAAAATATTGGCCAAAACTTTCCACACATTTATTTGAAAAATAATTAAAATAAAAAAATCAAATACAATTTTCATATTAACTAATAAGATTTCATTAGTAAGTATTAAACCATATATTTGAGGTATTTAAAACTTTTTATAGACTAAAATACATTTTTTAAAAAAACATATAGTCTATTTAATTTGAATAAAGTGATTATAATAATAATAATAATAATAATAATAATAATAATAATAATAATAATAATAATAATAATAATTAAAGAATGGGCAGGGTGGGGAAAAGAGTCAAATAGGCAAAAGATTATCTCTAATTTGGAATGGTCGGTGGGCTGGCCCATCAAAGTGGACCCACTATTCACCAAATTAACTCGTGACACGTGTCAACATGATATCTCCTTATCTATTTGCAATTAATTTAAGTGTTATTATGTAACCTATGTAGGGTAAAATTTGAACCATTTAAAAATAGTATTAATACGTTTTACCTTTCTAATAAAGTTCAGAACAAATTTATTGATGGACGAAAACGGTCTATCCACATCTCATAAGCTATTTGAGTAATTTTTAATGTTATTTTTAAAAGTTCTTGAATATTTTTTAAATATGATATCACGGTAACAGTTTAAAAAATTTAAATTAAGAGTATTAATAAGATGTTTTTGAAACAAAATATTAAAGAAAATAATGTTCAGAGACTTTTTTGAAAATTTAAAGAAAAAATATATATATATATATATCTAAGAAATTTAATAACAAATGGCTTGGAGTTTCTTTTCGAGCTTTTCCTCAAGATTTTTCAAGATTTTTCAAATGGGTTTCATCTATTTCACATTCTTAATTCTTATAAAGAATACTTTGTTTTATTTCCCAATCAATGTGAGACCCTCCCAATTCACCCTCTTTAGGGCTTAGCATCCTTGTTGACACACCGCCTCGTGTCCACCTCCTTCGGAGCTTAGCCTCCTCGCTGCCACATCGTCCAGTGTCAGGCTCTGATACCATTTGTAACAGTTCAAGCCCACCGCTAGCAAATATTATCCTCATTGGGCTTTCTTTTTCGAGCTTCTCCTCAAGATTTTTAAAACGTGTTTATTAGGGAGTAGTTTTCACACTCTTATAAAGAATGTCGAGATAGGATCTCAAAACGAATTGGGTGGTCCCACGTCAATTGGAAAAAGAAACTAGTACCAACAAGAATGTTGGGCCCTAAAGGGGAGGTGAATTGTGAGATCACACCTCGGTGTGGAAACTTCTCCCTAGTAGACTTATTCTAAAAACGTTTCGGAGAAACCCAAAAGGGAAAGCTCAAAGAGAACAATATCTATTAGCGGTGAGTTTGAGCTATTACGTTATTAATGTAATCCAAAAGGGTAAGAAAGGAAGAAAACGATGAGGTAAGAGACGGAGGAGGAGGGAGTAGTGACAAATAACCTTAACTACATGTTCTTATGACAGTGAAACAGCAACCTACATGTCTCCGTCTTGTTTGTATTTTGTTCATCCCTTATAAGGAACAAACAGAACCACCGCTGGGGTCTGCTGCTGATTCCACAATGCTCACCCTTCACCTTCCGCTCTTTACATCCCAACGATCCTCATTTATATGCTCCTCTTCTCCTCTTCTCCTTCATCCCTCTCGCCTTCTCAGCCTTCTCCCAGTTACTCTTCTCTCTTGTCCCTCTTTCTAATGCCATCCTCATTTATGTGCATTTTTGTTTTCTTTGTGCTTTGTTTGGTTCAAGAGCCTAATTCCATGCCTTTTCTGCATTTCAGGGACAAAACAGAGAAACAAAATGAAACTCTGCATCATTCTCTTGTTTGGTATTTGGCTGATGCTCATGCCCTCTTCACCAGCATGTGCTCAAACTGCTGCTAAGCCTCCTTCAATTAGCCTGACTCCCGCACCGGAACCAGCCCCGCCCGCCGATCATGTCAACCTCGCTGATTTGCTCACAGTAGCTGGTCCCTTCCACAAGTTTCTTGGCTACCTTGAATCCACCAAAGTCATTGATACCTTCCAAAAGCAAGCCAATGATTCAGAAGAGGGAATAACCATATTTGTTCCAAAAGATGGTGCATTTTCATCCCTCAACAAGCCTTCTCTATCCAACCTCACCAATGACCAGCTCAAGTCACTGTTACTCTTTCATGCCTTACCACATTACTACACTCTAGCTGATTTCAACGGCCTTAGCCAAAAGGGTCCCATCACAACATTTGCCGGTCAGCACTACACCTTGAATTTTACTGATGCATCTGGCACTGTTCACATCAGCTCAGGCTGGACCAACACAAAGGTGAGCAGCAGCGTGCTTTCGACCGATCCCATCGCAGTTTATCAAGTCAATCATGTACTCCTTCCAGAGGCAATCTTTGGTACTGATTTCCCTCCCACGCCAGCACCAGTACCGAGCCCCGACGTCGCTCCATCTGCTGAAACAGAGGACAGTGTTTCTCCATCATCGATCGAGTCTCCGTCTTCTTCCTTTAGGATTGCTGGAGTGGTACTCTGGAGCCAGTTGGTTTTAGCAATTTCAGCTGGCCTGCTCCTGTTTTAGTGAGCGAAGGATAAAGAAGTCTTAGTTTATTTGTGTGTGTGTCAATTTTGTTCAATGCAATGTCGGAAGGAAATCAAATCTGATTCCATTAACAGATTGCTCATTACATGAGAACAGAAATTACAGAGCATGGGACACCCACAAAACTTTCTTTTGCAGTGTAATTAACAGTGTACATAAAAAAGTATGAATATTTATAATTTACATTTCATAAAGCTACATACAAACACCATGGAAAAACAGATGCTCTCTTGTTTTTGTTTTACTTTACTTTCTGGCAGGGAAGAAGTCGGGTATTTTCTCCCATTAAAATGGCTATAATGTTACAGTTTGAACATCTTGACAGGTGGGAATCGAAGATATTATTTGTCATCCTCGTGGAGGGAATTTAATCTCCTCAATCTCTGATCAAGCTCAGCCATAACTGCTGGTTCTTGCTTTTTCCTTTGCTTCGATATCGTATTGGTCGTCGTTGATCCGATGTTGTCATATGCTACCTGCAACAAGTTCACAATCCAAACGCTTTGTTCAAACCATTGTCCAAAAAGATGTCGATCAAACCAAATGTTCTTCGAGTTAGTAACAATGTTTTAAAGATCATGAATTCACAAGTCAAAGCTTCCAACCGTGGTTAGTCAACAACAATACCGAGACGAAAAGAAATTGAACTTCGCAAAGATGTTACAGAAACGACAGTTACCGTGAGTAGATCATCGGGATCAAATAGGTAATGTGTAGTTTTTTGAACAATATTAATCACATCTCCCACATGATGGGATAGAAGCAACTGGTCTTCCTTCATCTGAAATTGGTTTCGAGATGAAGTATGGTCATTGATTGAACTTCGACCAAGAAGTAAAAACAGATAATCTCTAATATCAATACGAGTTCCAAGTAGTTACCTTAAAGATAGCCAAAGCCACATGAAACAAAACTTTTGCTCCCTCATAGAAAAGGACATCCCAAACACGTAGAGTCGTCTGTGAAAAACGATGTTTCAGTCTCTTCAAGAACTAAAACATGATTTAAAGAGCTTTCTAATACAAACATTTGGTCAGCTAAAAGTTCAGAAAAAGATCAAGCGTGGGCACCCAGAGGGAGCATACTTCTAACCTCAGAAGGAAGGCTTTTGGAGAAAAGACACAGGAACCACTCAGTGGCGACAAGGGAGACATCAAAATCCAATGCTTCCAAATGGGCAGCTAACCTGCATTCACATTCCAATTTATAAGAATGCTTGCACTAATTAGACAATAAATCAATGTCATGACAAGTTTAGGCACCTGGAACACTTTTTGGTAAGTAAATCTTTGAACACCCTTTGCTCGACATGACAACCCGACAAATTGGTCGTGTAACAGTCACGAACTAAAACATTTTCTAAGAGGACAGCTAGCATCCAAAAAGCATCTTCTTCTGTTTTCATCACAAGCAATAACAATGCAGCAACATAGTTTAACCCCTGCACCAAAACTGAATTAATGCCAAGGTGTTCTAAATGACGGATCGAATTCAGCCAACAAACAGATCAATAACAAGAGTATGATAATGCCAAGGTGTTCTAAATGACGGATCGAATTCAGCCCACAAACAGATCAATAACAAGAGTATGATATAACCATGTCTTTTACCAATAGCAACAAGAAATCATTTCTGTGCTCCAAATCTATATTCTAGAGAAACAAAAGGATGAGGAAGACCGGGATAGAAGGAGAGAGAGAGAGATGAATTAAGCATGGATAGACCACTGAAACAACTGCTGAGAAACAGAGTTGAATCGCAATTTTAGACGTAGACGGAGAAGAACGAAACATTCTTTATAAGGGTGTGGAAACCTCTCCCAAGCAGACGCATTTTAAAAATAAACCTTGAGGGGAAGTCCAAAAGGGAAGGCTCAAAGAGAACAATATCTACTAGCAATGAGCTTGGGCCATTACAATTGGGATCAGAGCCAGACACTAGACGATGTGCCAGCGAGAAAATTGAGCTCTGAAGGGGGGAGACACGAGGTAGTGTGCCAGCAAGGACGCTGGCCCTTGAAAAGAGGTGGATTGAGGGATCCCACATATCGATTGGAGAAGGGAACAAGTGCAAGTGAGGATACTGGGCCCCGAAAGAGGGTGGATTATGAGATCCTACATCGATTGGGGAGGAGGACGAAGCACTCTTCATAAGGGTGTAGAAACCTCTCCCTAGCAAACACATTTTAAAAACATTGAGGGGAAGCCCGAAAGGGAAAGTCCAAAGAGGACAATATCTTCTAGCGGTGGACTTGGGCTGTTACAAAAATTATGCAGACTAACCTGTAATTTTCTAAGCAGATGGTTATATTAGAGTGAAGGAGATAAACCAACCCACCTGACAGTATCCAACATCAGAGTCACGGAAGGAATAGCCAACAAGGACACGTCGAAGAGCAGCATGACCCTCTGGAGTATCTAACCAAGGATGGCCAGGAAAAGTCCGGGGCAAGTCCTGCATTTGTATAGAAAAACACCGGAACAAGTTGAAAGGATTGTAATTCCGACATTCATGTTCAATGAGAATCAAGAACTCACACAATGAAGGCATACAAAATCTGATGAATCCAACAAAAATTCCAAAAGAACTCACATGATCAATCTGCCTAGTGGCAGACGTGACTTTCCCTTCAACAGCCTTGGTCAAATCATTGTAATAGCTCTCGGGAACCGTGGATTTCTTCTTGGCAGCTCCGGATAAGGAGAACCAAATCTTGGGGCGAAGAACCGGGGGGATTCCTTTCCAAATCAACTTCTTGAGAGTGATGGCATTAGCAAGAGTTGATAATTTGAGGGAGGATTTGAGGGCAATACCCTCAAAAACAGAGGGTTCCAAGTACCAACTAGCGCCTTTGCTGGCCTCCAATGTCCACCAAACACGACCATGTTGCCTCACCTTTTCCCTCACTTCATTCAACACATTAACATCGTCCACATTGCCTTCCACAACAAACCCATATAGATCTTGAAACTTAACTGTAATATTAGCCCTTCTCGCATGGATACTCGGCCTTAGAATTGGAACCTGAGCTTGCAATTCTACAGAAATATCTCTTTTGCCTTGAGTCCTAAACATTTCTTGGGGTTATTCCAACAGATCAAGAAAACAAAGGGGGATTTCGTGATTTCGTGATTTCGTTCTTTAATATCAAACAAACAAATCCCACCAGCTTCAAACCATGAGAATGGTCAATTTTGGAAGAAAAACTACAGAAGAAGAAGAAATATCCTCCAAAACCTCCCCACCATTGCCATCAAATCCGCCAAAAACAATTCCTTAAAAAACCAACTAGAAATTAACAACAATTTCTTGCCTTCCGGGGTCGGCTCTTAATTCTTATATTAAAAGAAAAAAAAAAGAAAAAAATGGGAAGAAATCGATTCTTCCCAAAAGAAAATTACAGACGCAGACAAAAAGGAAAAGGTTTATGCAAAAAACGAAACCAGGAACCAGAAACGAGAGATTGTATATAAGATCATACCAGAGGCGATAAAGGGTAGCGATTGAATGGCAGAAAAATTGAATTAAAGAAGGATTTTGGAAAGGACGACGAAAATGGAGGAGGGTTGAGCCGTTGTAAGGGCACAAGAAAGCCGGAATTTTCAATGGAAACAGAGGCAATAGATAGAGCTCAGCCTGTGAGGTGGGTTTTCAAATTTCGTCGTGTAACCAAAAGCAGAGGAAAAAAATCAATCAATCAAACAAACAAATAAAAAAAAACAACCGAAAATGTCCGATTTTTTAATATTTTTAAAAAGAAGGATTTCGAATTTGAATATTCATAAATAAATATTGTGTTTTTTTTCTTTAATGTAACGTTGTGAACCGAAAGGGGAATGTGTATATTAAACAAAAAGACAAGTTTTTTTTAGTTTAATGATTATTTTGAAAAATAGAGCCGGCTATGAGTGACGAACATGATGGAATTAGACATGTCCATTTTATACGTTGGATTCGAGTCTTATGGGACCTACTTCGAATAGAGATGAAATTGATCGTTTAGATAGAGAATGGGAAGGGAGTGGATAATATTTTATTCTTAATAATAAAGAGAGTCAAGAACAAGATTATATTCTCTATCCATATCTCTGTCTCTGCTCAATTCCAGTCTCGCTTAATATAAATATATTTTTAATATACATATATTTTTATTTATATTAAAAATAAATAATTGATTAATTTTGAAAGTAATTCGAATTTTTAGAAATTAGGTTGGTAAAATATTATACATATGTTTTTTTTTTATCAAATATATCCTATATTAAGATTTTTTTTTTTATCATTTGTAATAAAAATTAAGTTAGAAAAATGAAAAGTTTAAAATAAATTTACTTTTTTTAAAAAAAAAAAAATAATAAACAAGTAAAAATTACTCGGATTAAACTCTATCTCCAAAAAAAAAAAAAAAATGATTTTTTTTTGTATAACAATAAATGAAATTGATAGTCAATGTTCAGTTTTATATAAACAAAAACACTTTCGTTCAGTAGTTTTATATAAACAAAGACACTTTCGTTCAGTTTTATATAAATAAAGACACTGATCATAACGGATCAATTTATCCTATGTTAATTTAAAGAATGATTATGAATAAGTACAAAACAAAGTTATGAAAGTTTATGCGTAGATAATGACAGATGTGGAGAGTCATCGATAGAATATGGATGTCTTTTTCAGAAAATTGAGAAAAAGGAAAAATTAAAGATTTGATTTTTTAATCTTTTGGAACAAATTTGAGTTTGTTTAAAGGTGGTGAGGATGACCATAACGAATTGTTCTACGGAGGAAATTAACAAAATTTCAGATCTTCAGAGCTCTGTGATTTCGTTTCCTATGAAAGCAGGGAACTTTTCGTGTTTGCGGGGTTAAAGAAGATGGGTTCTAACTATCTACGCTTGCTTTCCTACACTAAGCAATTGAGCTTTTATGCCAACCATGGCAACCACGAGCAGGCTCTTGCTCTTTTCCTCCACATGCAGGCCTCACTAGCCCTTGCTCTAGACGCCCACGTTTTCTCTCTCGTTCTCAAGTCCTGCACCGCCATCCGCCGACCCCTTTTGGGTACTGCCATCCATGCCCACGCTACTAAATCCTCCCTCCTCTCAAACCCATTTGTTGCCTGTGCCCTAGTTGACATGTATGGCAAATCCATGTCCGTTCCACTCGCACGGAAGCTGTTCGATGAAATTCCTCAAAGAACTGTCGTCGCCTGGAATACCATGTTATCACTATACACGCACTCAAACATGTTACCTGATGCTCTCCGGTTGTTTGAAGCTATGGATGTGCCCCCCAATACTTCATCCTTCAATCCAATAATTGCAGGGTTGTTGGATGATGGATTCAAGGCCATTTCTTTCTATCGCAAGATGCAACAATGTGGGTTGAAGCCTAATTTAATTACCCTTCTTGCTTTATTACCTGCAAGTGTTGGAGTTGCGGCTTTGGACTTGATTAAACAAATTCATGGTTTTGCCATGAGAAATGATCTTGGTTGTCATCCCCAGTTAAGCAGTGGCCTTGTTGAGGCCTATGGGCGATGCGGATGTCTCAATTATGCACACAATGTGTTCGATAAAATGCACGAAAGAGATGTAGTCGCATGGAGCAGTTTAATATCAGCACATGCTCTTCATGGGGAGGCTAGAACTGCTTTAAACATCTTTCAACAAATGGCATTGTGTAAAGTGCAGCCTGATGAGATTACATTCATAGGAGTGTTGAAGGCTTGTAGTTACGTGGGGTTAGCTGATGAAGCATTGTATTATTTCAGTCGTATGCAGAGAGATTACGGTCTACAAGCAAGCAGCGACCATTATTCTTGTCTAGTAGATGCATTGAGCAGAGCAGGGAGATTACACGAGGCATATGAGATTATCCGCGAGATGCCAGTGAGGGTGACGGCTAAAGCTTGGGGCGCCCTCCTTGGGGCTTGTCGAAACTATGGGGAGTTAGAGCTGGCGGAGATTGCAGGGAAGGCTTTGTTTGATATAGAGCCTGAGAATGCTGCCAATTATGTGCTGTTGGGTAAAATGTATGCAAGTGTAGGGAGGCATGAGGAGGCTCAAAGACTGAGAATGGAAATGAAAGAGAGGAGAGTTCAGGCAGTACCTGGAAGTAGCTGGGTTGTTTATCAGGATTGATTGATTGAAGTGGATTCTTTGTTCATTGTTTCAGAGAGCCAGTGGTCATGTTTAAGCAACTCTTTGGAATGAGCTGAATAGGTGCCATGGTTATCAAATTCATATCATTCCAAAGAACGCCATTTGCAGATCTCAGCATGCGTTGGGATTAGGGGAACTTACATTTTATATTTGAAGGTTGAGGCTAGTTTTTATTTGATTTCTAGATTAGTGGCTAAGGGTTGAAGGATGTGATGGTGTCTATGTTCTTGGTGATTGTGCCACCGTAAATCCAAAGAAGAGTCGTGGTGGCTGCGTTTCATTCTATTTGCTTCACTTTCATAGATCTTTCATTTTGATAACCTGTTACTTGCAGGAAGATATTGCAGTAATATTGATTCAGCAAGGAAGATAAGGACAAGTCAGGAGCTTTAGTCCTGCATGAGTTCAAGAAATGGTAGATGATATTTGTGAGAGGTACCCATCAAGTAGAGGACTTTATGCAGAAGAAGCTGATTAAGAACTTTCCAGCTTTGTTGAAGAAGACGCAATCCAATGCACAGAAATAGGCGACCACCAAACTGGATATTGAAAGCTTTAAGTGCTTATTACTTTCTGAAGTCAATTCCCAGATGAAATTTTTTATCTTAATCATATTGGAATACAAATAGAATGATTCATATTTGGCGGATTCAAGCATTGGTGGGAGAGGTCAATGTTTGCTTATAAGAGTGTGAACCCAACGAATCATAGCGGACAATATTTGCGAGTAGGGTACTAGCGAGGATGTTGGGCGCCCAAGTGGAGGATTGTGAGATCCAACATTGCTGGGCCAGGGCGGTGGATTAGGGGCCGCCAAAGTCAGACCTTGGGCGATGTACCAATGAGGACGTTGAGCTAAGGGGATGGATTGGGGGGCAGATTCTAAGATATCACATCAGTTGGAGAAGAGAACGAATCCTTTCTTATAATAGTGTAGTCTCTAGTAGATGCATTTTAAAACCGTGACTCGTGAAGATTATGAGATCCCACTACATCTATTAACGGTGGACATAAGCTATTACAGAAAAAGTTGGTGTAAAACGAAAGCGGATCCCTTTTATTTCCAGAAACACAAGCCTACAGGAACAAGCTTCGCCAGTTCCATAACAGGGGTTATGGTTCACAAAATACTGATACTAAAGGGAAAAAAAAGAAAGAAAAAAAAACCAACATTGGCTCATTCTTCTTCCTCCTCCTCATCCTCTGCAAAATTCAACTTCTGACAGATCGATGCTTCCATCTCATCATTACCAAAAAAGTTGGTCTTACTATCAATCAATTCAGCCACCCTCTTGGCCGGTCCCGACGCCCTTGGGCTCATACTCCCGCACCGACTCGTCCTGATCCTTGGTAGCTTATCGCCCACCTTCCAAACTGAACACTCCCAACTCCTTTCTTCCATTTCTTCTGGGAAACCCATTATTTCACTTGGAATTTCCCGTTGCTTCTTCACTCTGCTTTGCGGCCCCTTGCTCCGGCAAACTTCCGACGAAGGTCGCCGCTTATCATACCTACTGCTTCCGTCGTCTTTGCAATTCCCCGGCAGAGATCTCTTACGATTCTCTGTCGCTACTTGGGAGCTGCTTTCATTAATCTGATTGTAACGGCTCGCTACAATCCTACCACTCTTCAATGCCTTTTTGACACTCGTGGGTGCTACTGATTTTTCAACGTCTTTAAAGAGCTTCTTTGGCTGAATCAATTCAACAAGCCCATCTTTCTTCGTCGGTCTTTTGGATACGACAGTGGTTGCCGGTTTCCGTACAGTTTGAGCCTTAATCAAAGTCCTCCGCGATTTTGGGCTAAGGCTCATGTTTCCTCTTCTGTTCTTCGCCTTCCCCTCGTCAATATCTAGTAATTTTGGAAGGCATGATTTCCGACGGTTATGTATCCGCTGAATCGGCGTGAGTTCCGTCTTCCCTTGCCGCCGAGCTCCGACGCCGGCGTGGATTTCCGACGGCCCCAAACTCAATCCTCTGTTTTGGCCAATTTTCGCGTCAAATGTTCTGACGGGCACGAATCTTCCACCCCTCTGAACTGATGTTCTTGCAGCATCCCGCTTGGCCTTCTCAAATTGAAGAGCTTTCAGCCTCGTCGACAGTCGAATGATTTCCATCTCTGTTTCCTCAATTTCTTCATCGATGTTCATCTCTTTACTAATTACCTCCTCCTCTTCAGTCTCCCTAACACCACACATTTTGATCATGCTGGGCGTTTTCAATGGCTTCCGTTGTGAATTTTCAATGACGCCATTACGACTGAGCGGCTTCACAGAAACAGAGTACTTTGTAGAAACAGGTGTCTTCAAACTCAAAGGGCATAAATTTTCTTTGCTGCAATCACTCTGCAACGATTCAGAAGATGTGTTCTTGTACGGATCTTGCACAGTCGACCAAGAACGAGTTCTAACATCAGATTCGCCGTTTTCAAATGCAGCATTGTCCCAGACCTGAATGTTTGGGACTTCGATATCATCTGGATGATCAAGAACACTCGT